GGGGTACGAGAGAAAGAGAGAGAGAGATGAATGAGTGTACACAAAGAGAATGTTTTAGTTTTAGAGAACAATGAATAGGTCTATCTAGTGTGCGTGCTCAGGCGTGTCCTGCGTGCAGACGTGAGTAAATTTTAATTTTCAAGCTTTTCGAGCAAAGATAAATAATAAACCCAATTTAAGGGCGCTCGAAAACGTTGGAAAATTACTCCCTTCCTCTTGACAGTGACAATAACAAGAAAGGAAAAAGAAAGCACGTGACAGCCTAGAAAAGGTAGATGAAAAGCAAAGCCAACTATTGTACAGACTTGACAGAACGTCGGGTTGTGAACTAAGCACAGACGAATTAGATTTAAAGTTTATTTACAAGCGCTTTATGTACGCTTATGTGCTTTAATAATAAAACAACATTCGCTTAACTGGACTACTTTAGCACGCAGGTGTCGTGTCAACTTGGCCTATAATCTGGACAACGCCAAACGGTCAACTTGTCGACCTCATTACACAAAAAACTTAGTGGCGAATTGTCCTGATTTTTTTGCATGTGCTTCTGAATGTAAAAAAACTGAGAAATCTCGATTTTAGTGCATGTGCGACACATTTAAAGAGGTGTTTTCTATATATAATCATTAGTATTTAATTACGGTCGGCACAGGTTTAAAAAAAAATTAGAACAAGAAGGGTAGTTAATTGTTAGTTTTTTTTTGTTTAAATCTTTTTTTTTTTTTAAAGTCACTGCATGTGAAGACTGAGGTCGTTATAGAGAGGATGTCGTTATATTGAAGGTCGTTAAAGAGAGGATGTCGCTATATTGAAGGTCGTTATAGAGAGGATTTCGCTATATTGAAGGTCGTTAAAGAGAGGATGTCGTTATATCGAAGGTCGTTAAAGAGAGGATGTCGTTATATCGAAGGTCGTTATAGAGAGGATGTCGTTATATCGAAGGTCGTTAAAGAGAGGATGTCGTTATATCGAAGGTCGTTATAGAGAGGATGTCGTTATATCGAAGGTCGTTAAAGAGAGGATGTCGTTGTTTCGAAGGTCGTTATAGAGAGCTGGTTGTTATATTGAAGGTCGTTATAGAGAGGTTGTCGTTATATTGAAGGTCGTTAAAGAGAGGATGTCGTTGTTTCGAAGGTCGTTATAGAGAGGATGTTGTTATATCGAAGGTCGTTATAGAGAGGATGTGGTTATATCGAAGGTCGTTATAGAGAGGATGTCGTTATATCGAAGGTCGTTAAAGAGAGGATG